GTCTGAGCGAATCGATATACATATGTGACTTGATAATGACACCCTCCGCCGTATGAAGATGAGGTGTTAAATAACCGTTAACGATGGAACGAAAAATCACATTACACAAATTGATTACGTGTGTATAATAATATTTATATATATTTATTTATAACCGTTGAGATAGAAACGCCTATAATAATAGCTCGAAGGCAGTTATTTTGAGACATCACGTACGTGCGGCTATATAATATATATATAGGTACCTTCTACACCACGCGTATAATACATAATAATATATTACACTATAAATCGTTCTAATGATATATTACTAGTTAAAAATGTAATCGATTGAATAAAATTAGCTTTAAACACCGAATCGGTGTGAAATTTTAGACAACTAATTCAACAAATTGTGCAATAAATAATCCGCTCTTTGGTATAATAATCGATTAATGACTACTCTGCGCATATTGTGTATGTTCGTTAAAGTCTCTCGGGCTATTTAATAATAATAATACGTATTATTTTGGAGTTATTGCTAGCCACCACCTTGGCCATATTATTTTTAATAAAACGATTCGCATATATGACAGTTAAATACATTTTGAATTTTGAATAAACATTTTTTAAATATTTTAAACTGAGTAAATCTTTATGGGTAGTATATACTATAGTATATTATGAAATCTATTGAACATGTATAATATTATAATAATATTTAAAACTTTGAATTCAGAATTATCATAGATACTCGTAGGCCGTGTCGGTTTTTTTCTATAAAAAATATGTTTTTATAAAATTATAAAGGTGCACACACTTTGTTTCTGACTGTCATTTTCGTAATCCTAAAATATACAATACCTCCACTGACTGACGGCTTCGCATCCAGCCCACCGTTTTTTAACCACTCGAGTGCGATACTCGATAAATTTAACAATTTATATAATAATCGTTTTCTTCATTGATTCCGGGAATGACTTTGAAGAGTCTCTTACTCACATATATATATAAATATATATTTTACACGTGTAATATACACGACTTATAAATACTCGTAAACGCCTTTATTATATATTTTTTATATTATGCAGTCGGGCGCGTATGTTACTATACATTAATATAATATTATATCATTAAATAATGTATCGAGACGATGTATTATATATTATTATTATTGTTACCGTACGACAGTGTTTTAACGCTTGCAGACGGGTTTGTATAATAATATAGACGCGCGAGAACGACAACCGTCGACCGGACGACTTGAGGTTTTTTCTGTTTCTTAACGAGAGGTGTCTCCTGGACGTATGTGTGAAGATTTATTTCGCTCTACATTGCATCCACTCACACCGGCTATGTCCAACAGGTTCAAGCGTGACCTTTACGTTTTATATATACCTATATATAATATATATACGTGTGTTCACTTTTTTATGTCATTATATTTCTAGGTTAACCCACGACCTTTACAAAAAATAAGCGCGATAACGAATCATCGTCATAATAATAACACATAAGTAATTGATACCATATCCTGTAACCGACGGTATATGTAGTCAAACTGCCAGTTGTGATGCGCGGGACGTACGTCTTACGCATATAAAAATAATTTCTCTCACGTTTGCATAACGCTGGAGTGGCAGCCACGTGTTGTATTCAGTAGCTTTTCGTCGTCGACGCCGTCCTTACGGTCTTCGACTTAGTGTAATATTGTACACGGTGTGGGCGCTCCAGGATATAAATGTAAATATCTTTATTTTTGTACGATTTATGTAGAAAAGAAAAGTGACGGGCTGCGACTGTGCGGCCGCGCAGTATATTATGACATTACGTCGCATTGTTTTACATTGCATTCGATTATTATTCCATATTTCGGTGTGGGCCGTGAATATATTTGTTAACTGTGCGATTAGCCATAACTTGTAACGTTTTTATTACCGCGTTAATAATATATACATACACATATACACCTATATTTTCAAAATATAATTTTTAAATAATTTGTTTCCAGTTACATCAACTACTGCAGACGTTCATGTATATGTATGTGTACGTATATACATATATATACACATATGGTATTGTCTTAAATTATATACATGCATAGTAACTTAAGTAGTATGATTTATAGTCATGTATAAATTACATCGTATTTAATGAACATTTCCGATTACACTTTTTTTTTTTTTTTTTAAACGAGTTATATAATATACATCATAATGAAATCGATGTGTAATATTAGTTAGTACTTATTACAACTAATTCCGAACATTCTTGGTAGCTTTAACATATTATTTTATTTTAATAGCGTGTATAATACAGAGTGACCAATTTATTAACATACTACGATTTTTTCAACAGTCAATTTTTATGAGGTTGAAAAAAATGTTCGATTAAGTTAAATTAATGTATCTGACTACGATTTTGAAAACCTAATAAAATTTATGTTTTTTAAGCTTTTATACATATATTAAACTTGTTTAGTATAGTATATACGTAGATAATGTAGGTATTAGTATATTATATATTATAATATATTATAGAAATTATAAAAAAAAACCTAAGATAAAACTACAAAAAATAATTTTTTATTTTTATTTAGCTATTTTAAATGATATAAAAAGATTTATTTATTTTTTAATTACAATTAACTAAAAAAAGTTATGATTGTTTACGATTAGTTGCGTTATTTTTCAAATTATTGTTTTCTTAACTTTGTTTTAAATTGCAATGATATTAATATAATCGCTATAGAGGCACCACAGAGCTGTTTCTCAAATTAATTTTCAACTAAAGACCTTAATACATATTATTTATGTGGGTTTTATTTAAGTGGAAGTTTTCTTAAGTTGGTACATAATTGATTCTTTATTATATTATACATGCATTGTGTTTTATATCGATAAAATAGCGAATTGGACACGTCAAGTTACTAAATGAGCAATAATAGTATGTGTTATTAACAATAAACTATCTAAAATGTACAATAAAACACGTTTCCTACTTGAAGCATATTCATTATTTTTTTTTTTTTTTTAAGTAGTCAAATAGAATATCATACCTTACAGGCTTATTGAAGCATATTGTGACATATTTTAGAAACTAAATACCGCATAAATCGCAATGATTTGAAATGAACAGAGTCCTACGCGTGCCTTAGTAATATAATATTGTTATTTAATAATATAAATTCAATAATCATATAACTACATTATACAATTGATAAAGGATTTGCGTCATAAATAATCAATAATATTTAATTTTTGGTTCCTTAAAAAGCGGAAAACAACCTTATTGTAATATTCCCCTCAGAAGTCAGAATTCAAACTGTTATTTTTCATATTTACGGAGTATTGAAAAACACCAATCGTAAACATGCATTTTATAGCCGTATTTATAGTTATTGTAGGTACTGGAAGCAGAGATATTGCCGTGTCACCCCCACGCATATGTCACCGCACTGTAGAATTACGGCTACTAGCGTACGCTTCTAAACAGTTCTGTATGTGGAATTAATAACTATAATAATAATAGCATACATATACATGTATATTGCAGTTAATATCTAAACTGTATAAAGTAAAACGAATAGACTGAATTACGTGGAATCTTGTTTTCTAATAAAATAAAAAGAAACACGTACATAAATATTTTTTTTAAACGCACAACGTAAAATGTGCTTACAAGTTTTATGAACTAACATTTCACACTCCGAGAACAGACCACTACAAGCCACCGTTGAAGCCTGTACTCAAGACGGATAAAAATTCGATGGGTTCATAATAAAAAATGTTGATGACGAGCACACAGTATTTAAAAACACGCACAGATAAACAGTTATAGTAATGATAATTTATTGCTGATAATAGTTTGTTTTCAGTAATACGACAAAAAAACACGTGAAATTGACTCACCTATTGTGGTATATCAGTAGTATGAAAAGGGGGATTCAGACACCGCCTCCGTCACCGCCGACCCTCCGCCTTTCCGCCTCAAAACCACGGCCGCCGCCGCCGCAGCCGATCGCGCGGCATACGTCTCATCAGTTATCACATATTATTGTTATCACACTTGTTATCAGTTATATTATTTTTATATACTTGCTAGGTTATGTTGCCTCCTGGTATGTTGCCAGGACGTCTCCGACTCATAATGTATATCCCTACACCACTCACATATCCCATATTCAATTCATCGATAATCAATGAAGAACGTATGTCACCAGAATGTCGCAGACCCTTAATAGACGCTATATATTTCAATTCCAGCAAAATCCATTAATATTTAAAATCGCTCCCCCTCTATTATAGAGACTCCTGTCTTAAAGAGTCGGTAGCCGTTTAGTCCGTCTGCTGCCTTAAACTGTTGTACACGTATTTTTCGTTCGCTCCGTTTTTATAAATTTTAGTGAGTTTTAAAGTGTGTATTTTTATTTTTAAAAAATAATTTTAAACATGGCTGGTTCTATCACTAACAACGCTGTGCTATACAAAAAGAATGCTTTTACTTATGTATTTCCATCACCGATGGCCGAACTTATTGAATCTACATCTTACACACTCGATTACGCAGCCCGTAAGTTTGTGCATACTGCATATCGGTATTGACCCGAACGAAAAATTCCAAGTCGTCCATTTTTTAACTCCATCGCGGCATGTCAAAATAACACCGGATTTTCTAAAACGTATATTTTCATTGATGGGTAATATGTTGTCATTCGTATTGGAGAAGACATTAAAATATAAATGTACGTTATTTTTGGAAACCGAACTTTATAAAATATCCAGTATGGTGTATGGCAGAGAAAATGTGCTAGTGATTGAGTCAAAAACTCATGAAGGGTGCAGAGTACTGTTAAATCGGAAGGACCTTATTCAACTTCAGTATTTGGAATGGTGCATATTTGAAACGATTACACAAAAATCAAATATAACACAACCAGCTGTCATAAAACAATTCGAAATATTAAAATAAAAAAAATAAAAAAATAAAAAAAATATTTCTACAAATGATATAAATTAAAGATTTACCTCTGGTGAGTTTTCTTCTTCTTCCACTTGTTCTCCGCTCCATCGTTGCGCCCAATGTCTGGCTAATTGTGATAACACATACACTCTAAGTTGGTTGATGAAACCCATGTCTTCTTCTGTAGAAGTGGGCCTAATAATTTTATTATAACTTAAATTTTTGATAAATGTAACCATTTCTTCATGATTTTTCGGCGGTGAATCAACTTTGGTAAATTCAACATCAATATAGTTTAAAAATATTTCGAATTGTTTTAGGACAGCTGGTTGTGTTATATTTGATTTTTGTGTAATCGTTTCAAATATGCACCATTCCAAATACTGTAGTTGAATAAGGTCCTTCCGATTTAACAGCACTCTGCACCCTTCATGAGTTTTTGACTCAATCACTAACATATTTTCTCTGGCATACACCATACTGGATATTTTATAAAGTTCGGTTTCCAAAAATAACGTACGTTTATATTTTAAACATAACTTATGCTCTTGGTATTGCCTTAATATCCCAGTTGAAACCAACCACATCACCGAGTCTTATAATATCGGACACGTCATATAGAACATTTGGTGACCCACGTCAGACAGTAGATATAAATATTGTTAATATTTTAACTGGCCCACACTATGAACACTTTTGACCAAAACTTGGCGACGTGGAAAAATGTGCGATCAACAAGGACACTCGGGTCGTGTGTATGTGCACGTTTGACTTGTTTTTATGGAGCTACCGGACGGTTTTTAGTGTCGAACAAATTACTCGTCCGCTGCCGTAGGGACTTACATTTTATGTCTTATTAAAAAAAAAAATTATAATAATAATATGAATCCAATCGATACGTAAATATAATTCAGTTTCGAAACGCGCACTCCCTGCCGTTTAATGTCTCAATAATAAAACGACAATACTGCAGACTATATAATAAAATATTATTATGACGTACGTATGCACGCATATTTATTTGAATTATGAAGGTGCTACAATCCCGGTAAGCATTGACTGTTACTACGTCGATATTTTTCGAATTTAACACTAAAATATTTTAATGTATAACCGTCGGTGGTCCAGACTTGATGAGACTACAGAGTATGCGATCCAATCGCGCCAATACGATTGTCGAAGACTATAGATTATGTTATACGCCTCGAAAAAACTAGTCGGACGTTGTTTAATACGTTGTTTTATTGTTAGTATTGGTTCAAAATAAAAAAAAGTTACCGAAAAATTATCAAACGTAAGAAGTTCTACAGGCCCCTTCTATATATTGTACTGAGCTTTAGCCGTCGCTTTGTGAGTACACACACCATAATTATTGTATATTATTTGCATGCCTCTAAATATATACTACTAAACGCGTACATCATCTGTAGTGGTAATCTGTTTATTACTCATTCGTCCGGCAAATCGTTACCATAAATTATGTACGTACAATATACTCAGGTACAATATAATATATACATACATAATATTAAAAAGATTCGTGGGACAAAACGCGCATAAATTACTGTGATTATAAAACGTACATAATATACCTGTATAATACGTGTACGGTGCATATCTACGTATACATTATAGATGTATGCCGCAGCACACTCCGTGTAGGAGAAGAAGGATTATATTCTAATTGATATAGTCGGACAGAACAAAAAAATTACCTTAACCGTCTCGTCGTCGTCGTCATCAGATGAAACGTACATAATATAATATTATTATGTTACATACGTGCCGCGGTGTGCTGTGTGTGGCGCCATTGGAATTGTTCGCCGTGCGCTGTATGCATAAATCAACAATAACAACGATAATGATAATAATAATGGTAATAGTGATAATAACTATAATGATAATAATATTGTCGAGCGGTCATCATAATATTAATATATTATCGTAATTGCAGTATATAGATATGTATATATGTATTGTTTTCGTTGTGGCGGAAAGTAATTTTTTACGCGAATCGACCATACATCGTTTCCGTAGAAAATTCGTGTGCGGCCGTAACAACGACTCTATTCCTGTAATAGATGGTTAGGTAGAATATGCCGTACGCGGGACACCCGGAACCAAGTTTCACTTGCACACCCCCCCCCCCCCACCTCCCCCCCCCCCCCCCCCCCCCCACTTTCCCCCGCAATCTTATCGTGGGATTTTCTGTGCATGTCGTATTACATATTTATTTACATTATATAGGTATATATATATTTATTTATAGACATTGAGTACCTATATATGGGTAAGATGAGCGTATAGTAATTAGAAATGAATAGATAATAATATAACATACTTTATTCAATAAATCAATGACCTGTAAGCTTAAACGATATGTCTAATGGACAATGTATTATATGTGTTGGCTTTGACAAGTGCCTTTTTAATAGGCGTGTGGCTTCGTTACATAATTATAAATGGTATCAAAATGGACAAAATGTTGAGTTTAGTTGATTTTTTTACATGGCCAATGCATTTTTATAATCAGAAAAATTTTAACTTACTGAATTTGTGTGCCAATTAGGAATTTAATTTTTAATAGGTTTTTCGATGACTCTATTTAAATTTAGAAATTTAAATATTTTGTTTTATTTTTTATAAGTATTCAAACACATATATTTCCTTATTTCCTTAGAAAGTCATAATACTTATTCCTTAAACGCATTATTATTTACGATCCGGTTAAATTTTTTATCAGATGATTTATCGCGGCGTGCATTCGGACGTCGTTACAAGTATATCGCATGTTTATATATATATTATAATATAATAATTTACTATTTGCTACCGAAAACTCAGCGGGGGTATTAGTCATTCGTGTTCGTAATTAATTAGATCCATGCGTTCAGTAATATTTTAATTTGAGTACATTTGAAACATGCTCACTCGTCTCGCGTTTCTGTCGTTGCTGTACGTTATAAAGATATCTAATGCACCACGCTGTATTCTAGATGTTGTCTTGTCGGTTGTTTGTACGATTCGTATTCTAAGAGTATATTATAATATCTACGTTTTAATTATTATTTATTTATGTTTATCATAGATCATTCCTTATTAACACGACTAAGTGATATGTTTATCTTTAATCTTTCATATCAATTAATGGAAACGTATTAATGACAAATGTATTTACCAATTATTATACGTAATACGTATAATACATATATAATGCCAATTACATATTGTATAATACACAGAAGTTAGTGCTGAACTCACTTCTGAAGTATCTCGTATCACAAATCGCGTACAACTCACGTACCCATGAACCATGGAACCCCTACCGTCACCATCATAAATTGTAAGTCTACGCCACACTGAACACGATATACTGGTTCACTATGCCAGTAGAAATATTGTATTTTCCTATAGTACCTATCATGTTTTCGATTTAACAACACAGACTCTTTGATAAGTATATATATTTTATACTCTATATGTATCGTATTTACTGTATTAAATTACGACGATTGCGCTCAACGTAATTGCTGATATAATAAACCGAAGATCGTTATAGATTTGTGTAAACCATCATGTGTTCCGTATTTCATTGATTAAAGAAACGTTTATGATTCGTTTGATTGTATAAAATGAACTGGGATCTCGAACAGAGTAGCTGGCGTGCGTGCACGTTACAAAACGGAAAAACGGTAAAATTTACGATATTATTTCGACGTGCCTGTTGTTTTTAATTCTTTAACTCGCAAATGAAAACCGAATTCCGCGGAAGACGGTGGAATAAAACGTTACTTTTTAATTATCGAGTAATAAATACCGCGTGCGCATTAAACGTGTATAGCAAATCATACAATCCGACGATCTAAGCATTCGGGATGAATATTATTATAATCGTATGCATAATAATATCTATGTCTAACTACGTGCTACACGTACCCGAATACGTATTTTAGTGATACGAATAACATATTTTATGAAAAGACATTCGGACCTATTCGTAATAAGTATATATAATATCATAAGTTTACCTGATACAGGTACACTCGGCGCAGGTGAAAATTACAACGTTCACCAGACAGATCTAATTTTTATTTAACATCGAGTCTAGTGCGTATCGTATACAACGTATGCACACACATAATAATTAACAATAATAATATTCTGAATATATTTTGGCGTTGATGTGTGTATAGTGCATTGCGTTGCATACGTGTATAACATCATAAGTCGGTGGCGGCGACGACGCCGAAGAAGACTCCGCGGGGCTTAATTACTGCTATATATACGCGCGTGTGTGTGTGTGTGTATAGGTATAATATCATTATATTATCTGCTATAGGGTGTACGCGAGCATAAGATGAATCGTTTATTATTATTATTGTTTTTTATGTAGGCACGTTACCGGCAACGCCCACGACAAAGCGTTTACAACGCGTATTTTAATTAATTCGTGAAAAGAGGAGGGGAAAAAATCAAACAAACTGTATAAACTATATTATATGCTACCTGCAACGCTGCTGCCGACTTTAACGTCTGTTTTTTCCCTTCTTTCCATCTCATTTCGTCGCTTGTGCGTGGCTGCTGATATTATATGCGCAATGCGCGCGAGTGGCGGTCGCATAATATAATAGGCACCGGAAAGTCCGGTCGCCCGTCTGGTTTTATACATACCTACTTATATAATAAACGCGGTCGCTTCGAAAACAAATTAAAAAACAACACCGATCATTGTGTCTCGTTTCCTGCGGTTTCCTGCGAACTCGTAATACCCACCGGTATAATAATAATAATAATATGTATACATATTATAATATAATGCACACAGAACCAGAGGCGCTAATACGACGGCCGGCACTCCTCCTGCGCACGCCACTGCCGCCGCCGGGACGATTAAAATTAACCTATCGACAACAAAGCTTCCTTCCCCTTACAGGCTGAACGCTATTCGCCCGAACGAATATATAAGCGATTTCTGAGTTTGTATTATTGTTTTGTGGGCTAGCGTTAAATTTAAAAATCCTATCAAATGCGTAAATAAATATTATTGTATACAAGACCCGGTGGCAAATATGTTCGGACCGTGTTTCAAACCACCGAACACTTTGGCTGACAGACCTGTCAGTTTGATATGCACGGAATAGATGGGAACTCTTTTTATTTCACATTTTTCTTTTCCGATTTCCGTAAACTTCAGTACATACAATTTTTTAAAAAAGCCATCCATTTCGAGTCAACCGTCACTGTCTGATATACGTGCATATCTGTATATTATATATATTATATATATTGAAAACGGACTTTGTTTTGAAGTTAAAACAAAATTTATTGTTGAAGTGCATATTCCGGGATTGTTGATGTTGCCATTATCGTTTCATAATATTTTCCGGTTTCAGGTGTGCAAAATAACCGTAAAAAAACACTATATGAAATCGCGTCTTGCCGCGAGAACCTGCGTATTCACAAGCTTATGTTTATGTGGGTACTGCCCTAATGCTCTGTTTCGGGTTTTATCGATATTATCGTTGTCAATGTCTTCTGGTCTATCAATAATTATAACTTCTGACCGAGGTCACCATCCACAATAGTG